CTTTAGTGAGACTTGTAAAACCTCGTGAAGCTGCGAAATGGAACAAGTTTCCACCAGGCGGTTCGATGATATCTGTGACCCTTCTTAACTTAAAAAATAGCTCGAGCTTCCTTACGCATAGTATTGGTTGATAAAATCTAAGTTCTCCACTAGGTAGCCTACAAAATCTGCTTAATACCATTTCACGGCTTTACAGCAAATTACAGCCCTCCGCGTTGCGAACTAGCAAAACGCTCCCCCCCGTCTTCTGAGGCGAGGCCCACGGTTTCGTATGCCACATTTCGGCTACAGGAACGTGTTAATCAAAGAAAATTGGGAGAGTTAAGCGATCTTCATAGTGGATGGAATACTTGTATCAGTGGAGAAGGTTTTCCAACTGCAACTGACTGAAGATTTTCATGACACGATATTGGTCTCAATAATATGTTTCTGGGGCGCGGTTCGGCTTAGTGGGGGCACTGATTTGTGCTCAGCTAAGCTTGTACAGGCCACCTTGTGAAGGGCTGCAAATTCTTCGGACCACCAAAGTAGCTCACTCGAACATATGATCAGCTTTACAGGCGCTCACAGGTCTCACCATGTTAGACATGTCACTTAACATGAACCAATAAAAGAAACTAACAAAAGTACAAAATGCCCCCTCCAAGCCAAACGTTTCTTCACAGTGGGTCTTTGAACTCCGAAGGATCTAGTGTAAGCTTGAAAATACTGAAAACTTTCTCTGGCTTGAGCTTTTTGGAAGCAAATGGTGGAGGTTTCGGGACAGCAGCATGCCGAATATTGATTGATTTTATCGGAAAAATTGTCAGACACGACTGGAATTGCTTTTCCAAGGCAAACCTTTCGAAGACTTCTGCTCCAAAGTGATTATACCGTCGTGTTGCCTCATGAATTCGTCTCGACACGTCGTCATCTTTGCTACACGTCGCTACTAAAAACAAGTTATTTATTGATTACTCAAAAACATTGCTAAAAATAGAAAGATATTATTTCATCATTGAGGTTATTTACAAGTATTACTATTACTATTATTTGACTTGATATTATGCAAAACCGGAGAGATTCGTCGTTGTTGTCGTCTCATGGACCGGCTATGAACAGAATCCCCAGAAAATCGTATTTGAGGTTTCGAGGCTTTATTACGGGCGCTTGACTGCAAACCAGATTGCCAGATGCTATATGGTTTGGCAATGAAGGTCGTGAAGATGACTGTTTAAACGTTCACCAGGCCAAAAACTACTCGGTCGAAATTGATGGGAGCGTCAGAAAATGAACATATTGCGTCAGATAGAGAAGTTGCCCGAAGAAGCCCCTCCCGTACCCTCGTCAAGCTGGGTGAGGTAGGGGTAAGAATAAACATCCGACCAAGTATTAGTACAAATCAAAGTTCTTCCGCTCTAATAGTTTGATCCTGGATTCGTTCCTGGATTGTAGGAGGCTTGGTTAGTCCGGAGAAGAACCGTTCTGGGATCTCCCGCTTAGTAAGCGTACATTCGGCCCTTCACCAAATCCGCCTCTTATTCTCCTTTTTATCGATCGAATAGCCGATAGTCAAACTAAGACATCATCGATCACCCCACAATTCAGCAAAGAGGAAGTCTCGAATATCAACCCCTCCACCCCTCCCCCCCCCCTGGCGGAGAGCTTTGGAAATAATGTGCCCTGATCAGACATCTTCACAGTAAACGGTAACCCACTGGTGTTTTTTAGATATCACATCATGAAGAAACGTATAAAAAACTTTAAAAAGGCATGGGCAGTGAGCGAATAGCGCGAGGAAAAACAACAAAATGATTAAAGATCAAACATGGTAGAGTTTTGTAGGGTTCGGGGTAAAATTTGACTTGCCCAGCTAGCCGCATTGCCTTGAATGCCATGATGACTGAGTCAGTCAACTGCCAAATAAAGAGGGGAGGAGTGGTTACGTAGGTACAAAAGAATGGAGTGACTAATACTTTAAACAAGGCGGTTCCTTAAACTATGGGGAACTTTGAAATGTTAATGGGGACAACACAACCGTATTGCGACGCCCTCCCTGTCAACCTGTGATGAATACCTTTCCCCTTACTTTTCTCGGGTTAAGTGGGTAGATTTCCAAACAGTCATCTGAACAATTTTCAAAAGATGTGAAAATGGAATGAACACTGATGGCTTTTTTCTGGCCTGTGGATCGGATTTTGGGCCGACTACCTAGCCCAGGCCAAAGAACGTGCAATCCTCCGGAGTCGCGCAGTTTGGTACAACACTTGGCTTGAGAGAATGAATTCAGCGATTTGTACTTCATCTAGCTCCCGTGTCTCATTGTATAGGCCAAGACACTTTCAAAACGAGGCTGCGAATCTGAGTGGGCCTAACATGCGTGGCGCACTCTAAAAAAGGTCCAGTGGGCGTATGTTGTAGATCCCAAAAAGGTCTAAAAACAGTCCAAAAAATTCAAGTTCCAAACCGATGATTTTTGGGTAGAGATTCGATAGGGATGCATTTGAGTAAATTTCTTTTACGAGACCAACGTGCTGAGCTGCGCTATTTTTAGTGCTTAGAATGATTGTAGAAGTTTTCAGCATTGATCAAACCCTCTTGAGGGGACGCCACGCACTCTACTTCTTTTTGAGGTCCTAGTGGCCATTTCGAACGCGATTTGGCCCATAAGCTGGCATTCGAAGGCCATCTAATGAACATGTCAGTGTTTACATTCGAAATAACCCCCACGGGTAATATAAAAATGACCTCTCGGGTCATTCTTATGCTACCCGAGAGGTTATTTGGAATGTGCCCTCGCCCGGCCAATGACTTTACCACCTAGTGAACAAGCTATTAGCACAGTGTTTTAACCTTCCGAGCGAGTCTGGTACCAGTTTGCCGGCTCCGGAGGAATGAAAGGACAGGCTGGCAGTCAATGGGAGCCGATCAGAGTTTGGACGCCGGAGCACGGGCTGGCTAGGTGGCCCATTTGGCACTACACGACGTCCTGCTCATTACAAAATTAGAAAAAAAATAATGCATGGATTCAAAAGAGAGTCAAGTGGAACAAAAGAGTCACATTTGAACTGATGAATCTTAAATAGTTCTCACCTGCTTCGATAAATCCAGGCGAAAGGCGAATAGCGTTCGATGCACGGGCTGTGGCATCAATGGATAAACGTGGTTTATTCGGAAAATGTACCACATTTTCAACAGTAAAATGATGAGTAGAAGACGATGAACTCGTAGTGGAGACGCTCGAACTGAACGACTCGTTGCTGAACATCAGCGGCGTTCGTCTCGATCTGCAACAAAATCTCACTAGGTGATATCTAGCACAAATTGCACGGACACACACACACAGACGAACGGACGGACACGAACGCCGCAACATGTGTTCATGGGTGTGACCTTTCCATCGCAAAGACGTGTCGTTTTGAACACATCAGTGGGGTGTTAGTCAAAGACGAAATCACGACGACGACGACGGCGGCGAGGACGACGATGAAAACGTGAAGAGCTAGAATTATCTAACGAACTACGAAGAAAAACGTGTATTGTACGGAAACTAGTAGTAGTAGTAGTTGACATCGAACTGGAAGTGTGAAGGTTACAGAAAGTGCAACCACGGAAAATGACGAGATTGAAGTCGCTGACAAGAAAAATCGGTGAGAAGATGGAGCGAGCTACTGTTTCATTTATTACGTGTCTCAATTCAATAATTTATTTCATTTATCTATTACAAGTTTTGATATCTTATTGTTTATACTTTGTTAATACTCTATTGACCCACACTGTTAGAGAAG